TTACAATGATTAAATGATGAATTACCTGGGGGAGGGGAAGTAGTTGAATGTGCTTAAATCAAAGAAGTAAATATAACAAAACTCAGTAACTGTTTTCACCAAACTAAACTAAATATGAAAAGCATGAAAAAAACATCTTCAACGTACCAAACGTCTTAACTAAACTGCTCTAACTAAAAACAAAACATACAGACAACAGCACATTCTCCTGAACCTAGTGAACTAATACAAAATATGCATCTGAGTGTTGTATATGTATATCGCGCGACTTACTCACTCCTACACCTCTCCGAGGCATAACTCAAACATGTCATTTAACTGGACAAGTTCACAAGTAAACATATTGCATTATCAAATCTCAAACTTTAGACAAGAGCATTAAACAAGCAAAACACATTCTCAGACTAGCCCTCGCAAGAGAGACTGTCCTCATAGAGACCCACAGAAAGAATAAGATCGAGAAGTGACGAGAAGGTAAGAGACAGAGAGAGAGAGAGATTGCCATTGCAGTTTGGGCTCGGCTTTTAAACGCTACGCGAACCAGCAATTGGTGGCGCAAACCCAGCGTCAGCGGCCAACGTCATCAGCACGAAATGCGGATCCTTCAATGCCGTTCGTACCTGTAACAAATGCATAAAACGACACACCCACATACAAACAAACGCACACACTTATACAAAATACGTTCTGAAAGCGAACGTTACAGTAAGTCATTTAATGTAAACAACACAGCGGTTTTAGTATAAAAGTAATAGTAGTTTTAGTATAAAAAAAGTTTATAAAAATATATATTTTTATTCTAAAGACAGTATTCTAAAGACAGTATTCATGGACATATTTTCTTATTGTTTGTCATCTGGGTAAATTTTACCATCAATTTTACCATCAAATTTTGAGCCTGAAAGCTCAGTATGCTCAAATTAACTGCAAACTCGTGATGGGTCGTTCATGAACGATTCGTTCATTTTGAACGAATCTTCAATATGACTCGGGAACTACGAGTCCTCTCAGGGAGTTATTCCTTTATCAGTGCGTGCGCACATTTGTGCAGGTAGTATCGTTAATTTTAAGTCTTCAGCACATTGGCAGAAGCCAATCATATGCGTTTAGAGCCGGAAAAAGAATTGATCCGCTCACCTCTCGAGTCCTCTATTGGGTCTGAGTCACTCGTTCATCACAGGCCAATCATACGCGTTTAGAGCCAGAAAAAGAACTGAACCGCTCATCTCTCGAGTCCTCGTGTTTGAGTCATTCTGTCACGTGATGAACGAACGGTCATGGCTCCCATTGGCTCAGACTGTGCATTGATTAAGATTATATGTGACTGTCAGTGTAACGTGAATGAACCCCTGACATTTAAAGACATGAAGAGGTGAGCTGAGCAAAGAGACAAAAATGCCTTTATAGACAAAAGAGCAGGTAAACATTCAATTAATATTGTGTCCTTATATTCTATTTATGACTTAATTGCCGTGCAATCAACATTTTGGGCTAATTGTAGATATGTTTGGAAGCAATTCATAACATTTTAATAATATTTTGGCAAATTGAACCAATTGAACGAAATGACTCAAAAAGATTCGTTCATTTTGATGAACAAGACTCAAAGATCCGAGTCAGTAAAATGATCTGAACTTCCCATCACTACTGCAAACTTTAGTAAAAACCTGGCTTTGTGCAACAGGCCTCAGAGTATACAATGTAGCTGTTTGTAAATAATGGCAGTGGAATTGTTCAATAGTATTATAAGTGGGCCTTAGAGAAAATGAAACACTGTTATACAAAAAATTACCATGACCTCTGTAAGAATGCAGAGAACATGTTTTCATTTGATTCATCATTTCTTCAGACAACTACGACAGAGGCAGCTTGGAGATGTGGCAGCAGAATTTCAAAACAAGTGGCAATTTACTAATTGCTTGGGTGCTATAGACGGCAAGTAGGGCTGTAACGATACACCAAACCCACGATTCGGTTCGTATCACGATTTTTGACCCACGATTCGATTCGTATCACGATTTTTTATTTTATTTTTTTCGTGTGGGGTGGGGAAAAAAAAGATTTTTAAAACTATTTTTAATTAAATAACATTTGAAAAATCTTTATAAACTAAACATCAAAGAACAATATTAACTATGCAAATTATTAACAATATAAATAGCCATATATAAAATAAATAAATAGGCAAAGCTATATCACTTCTGTTTTCTTTGTAACAAAATACTGTTGAAAAACCAAACTAAACTCCATTGTTTAGATGGTTCAAGCATGTTGAAAATTATTTTTCAATCAAGTTCTCTTGCATAGAAAAGGTAAATTAAATAGCTAGGGATGCTCATTTCGTTAATTTTGCTAACCGACAACCGCCGCTCATTAATCGGTTATTAACGGTTAACTGGTCAGATTACTATTAATTTTATATTAAACAAACTGACGTGTCTATTTTGTGTATGACACATTAAATATTGCATTTTAAAATACTGATTTATTTTTATATATTAATAGCGGAACAGAACAACAGAGCATCTTCACGCACCTGCAGTGTTTAGCACAAAAGAGCAGAATAATCTAAATAATCTAAATAAAATAAATAGGACTGCCCTAAATTATTTTCACTTAAATAATTAATTTATTTTACAAAACGAAAATACTGACTGATTCTTTTTAATAACCGGCATAGGCTTTTTTTCCAATCATATGTTTATTTCTTCCATCAAATAAAAATCGCAGACTTCCTCAAATTGCTTGCTCCACGGAAAATATGCATTTATTTAATGCCCCGCTGTTATTATTATAATCACAAAACCTTTTACATTTCAATAGAAATCCTTATTTTAAAGAATATGTCCTGATATAGCCTATGGTTTCCTCTCTCTCCCTCGCGGTTCAAGTGCGCGCGCTGCCTGATGAAAAGACAACAACACGCGCGCATATGTTGACTTTTTGTAAACAGTTTGTTTAAATATGATATTGCATTAATCTGCGTACATGCTTTAAGCTGTAAAATAAAAAGTAAAGCCTATTTGTTGCGTTCATTACGCAGATCCAGGTCAACATAAGCGCTGGTTTAGTATCAACAGGTCTGTAGGCTATCAAACAGCAATATTCTTCTTCCATTTTGCTTTTTAGCAAATGTGTCTGTATGCACGGGTTATACGTTATCATCCCGCAAATTAAGTATGCCTTGCAGTTAAACAAGTGGCCGAAAACAAGGCGCACCTTACTGCCTTTATGTTGACAAGGAAAAAAGAAGAGAAGAAGCGCGGTCCTCTTATAAACGACTGAATCAGCTGGGTATCGATTGTGCAAAAGTGTTGCTGTCTGTCTTGTTACAATTGTAATATTTAATACTATTGTGATATTCAAGATTTGTATATTCATACAGCTCTGGATAACTTAAAACAACGATTAGACCTTCAGAGCGGTGTTAATGCGTCCTGAAGTAAAGCGAAACGGCTATAAACTCCAGCAAGATAGAGTGTTTATATGCAGAGCCATATACCTTTATCTCTAAATAAAGTAGGCTATAACTATAGAAACTGTGTTTATTTTAACTGAAAGCTTCGTCGTGTTTTCTGACCGCACGCACCTGTCAGTCAGCACTCCCAAAGGTTCAAACAGAAAGCGCACAGCACGGTTACAGAAAAGTTTGGCTGTTACCTGACATCTGGTGAACGCCCATCCTGTGCAGCCACATTAACTGTGAGCAAATCATCGTATATGCGCTGAAAATCCGGCCGCTTTGACAGCATTGGCAATGTTTCTGGCGTTGTCGGTTGTCAAGCGGGGTTAAGTTGGTTTTGTTTTTGATATTCTTGACACATTCAGACGGCCCCTTAAGAGTTCCGTGCAAGCTTTCCTGGCTAAATATTGCGAGGGCTTAAACGGAGCAGTGCTTGTAATGTCGAACGAAAAAAAGGGTTAATTAGCTCAACTTTTGCAGGCACGCGTGACGTTATTGGAAAGGTATCACGAGATGGGTGTGTCGCGATTCTTCCTTATTACACCGCGACACAGGATCGTAGATCTGAGTGTCGCGATTTCGATTTTATATCGTGTATCGTTACAGCCCTAATATATATATATATATATATATATATATATATATATATATATATATATATATATATATATATATATGCAATTTTAATTAATAATTTCTATTGCTATTTTGAGTTCATTGAATTCATAATGTTCCATAGTTTACTTTTACTTACTAATTACATTAAAAATGTCTTTGTCTGTTAAATAATTTATACATTTATATATTAAATGATTGAGTAATTACATATGTTACATTATTCTATGTGCATATACTGTTACATAAAATGTGTTTTATAGCCTGTAAATAATCTTTTCTATTATTGTATTTTTAAAAAAAAACTTTAAAAATACATGTTTTTGACAATGTTTTTGTCTATGATTAATATTAATATATATTTTGTTTCCTTCCAGAGAGAATGACAAAACCCAAGCAAAAGCCTTGCCCTAATTGTGGGGCAATAAATGTTTCAAACTGCAAAACGTGCAGAAATTGTTTTGCTGCCATTGCTTTAAAAGCAAGCATCATGGCAAAACAAAAAAACATTGAGGAGTCGTCATGGGCAGCAAACAACAAAAAACACAGGAATGCTGCCCGTGTTGTAGATTCTGCCCGCACTGCTGTAAGTACATTATTTGAGTACAGAGGCATAGTGTATACAAAATTATGTTGTCATTATTAGGTAAAACTAAATCAAAAATGTATTTCTGAACAAATGTATTCATGTCAGGTCTGACTATATTAACTGATCCTATTTTGATTTTTAGCTATCGATGCAGTTAATCCTTGAGATCCACAACAGCAAGTGTTGTTTTACCAGAAGACTATAATTTATTCTAATCAATTTTCTATCATGATCATTTAAAGAGCAGCTTTTGTGTTATTTTAAAGTGTAATAATATTATGTTTCTCTAAAGTTGTTTAAAAAGATATTATAATATAATTTTTTCATTACTTTACATATGTACTGCAGTACATGACAAACATTTCGGAGCATTTGGGGCAGAGATTATGCAAATGTATTAATTTAATTGTGTTTACATAGATCAGTTGCAGGCATAAGATTCTGAAAACATAAAGACTTGTTTTGGCAATTCAGAAACTATCTTTCACTTTGATAATGCAGATTTGCTACACATGTATCTGGGATGGCTGTGCTAATATTATGATTATATTGCATTTTTCTATACTGTTTTTATGTATTTATTTTTCAGGTTAAGAAATTGAAAATGCTGGGCTATAAGCCATTGTTGTTTACTTCGAAAGAAGAAAAAAAAAGGATTCAACACAGAGCTAATAACAACAATGGGTCCATTTGGAGAGGGACCACAGCAAAAAATTATAGATAAAATGGCCAGCCTGTACGAAGTTTTTATTAAAAGTAAGAGTTGTGGTCATTTGATTACGAAATTCACAAATTTTCAAAGAAATCTCTAACTTTATTTTAAAACTGTTTATAAATTTCCAGAGGTTTCAGAATTCGGCTGCAACAGACCCTGATGTCTGCCAAAACCTAGCATCATCGGTTTCTCCTCCAGCTTCTATTCCTCCACCATCTTTCCCAAACCTTTCTCCTCCACAAACTTCCTCCAGCTTTCCTCCTTCATCTGATGTTCCTCCACCATCTTTCTCAAACCTTTCTCCACCACAGTCTTCTTCCAGCTTTCCACCTTCATCTGCTGTTCCTCCACCATCTTTCTCAAACCTTTCTTCCCCACAATCTTCTTCCAGCTTTCCTCCTTCATCTGCTCCTCCACCTTTATCTTCCAACCTTATTCCTCCAACTAATTCCTCAAGCTTCAGTCCTCCTACCTCCTCTTACATCACCCCTCTTCCACCTGCCTCTTCATACAAAACACTTCCTGCTCCACCGCCTACTTCCCTCACTACTACACCTACTTCCTCTCTATCAAGTCCTGCAGTCCAGTGCATGACTACAGATTCCGGTGATTCAGGTGACTTTATTTTGAACTTTTACACAGCATTTTTCCCATTTTAGTTGGGACAACAATATATATAGAAATTTAAAATTAAAACATTAGTTTTGTAAATACAGTTGAATTCTGAATTATTTGCCCCCTTTTCATTTTTTTCTTTTTAAAGTATTTTTAACATATTTAAATGATGTTTAAAAGAGCAAGGACATTTTCACAGTATGTCTGATAGTGTTTTTTTATCTGGAAAAAGTCTTATTTGTTTAATTTCGGCTAGAATAAAAGCAGTTTTTAATTTTTAAAACCATTTTAGGGACAAAATTATTAGCCCCTTAAAGCTATATATTTTTTTCAACAGAACAAACCATCGTTAAAAATAACTTGCCTAATTATCCTAACCTGCCTAGTTAACCTAATTAACCTAGTTAAGCCTTTAAATGTCACTTTAAGCTGTATAGAAGTGTCTAGAAAAATATGTAGTAAAATATTATTTACTGTCATCATAGCAAAGATAAAAGGGTCACACTTTACAATAAGGTCCATTAGTTAATGTTAATTAATGCATTTACTAACATGAACAAACATTAAACAATACATTTACTACAGTATTTATTCTTGTTAATAAACATTAGTTAATGAAAATACAGTAGTTCATTGTTAGTTCATGGTGCATTAACTAATGTTAACAAACATGGACTTGAATGTTAATAATGCATTAGTAAATATTTAATTATGATTATTAAATGCTGTACATGTGTTGTTCATGATTAGTTCATGTTAGTAAATGCATTAACTAACGAACCTCATTGTAAAGTGTTACCAATAAAATAAATCAGTTATTAGAAATGACTTATTAAAACTATTATGTTTAGAAATGTGTTGAAAAAAATCTGCTCTACATTAAACAGAAATTGGAAAGAAAAAAAAATAAGCAGGAGGCCAATTACTCAGGGGGGCTAATAATTCAGACTTCAACTGTATGTGTTATTTTTGTGTGTTTTTACAGATTTATCCTCCAGAGAATGTGTCATAAAAGGGGCCAAACAAAAGAAGTGGATCTACAAACAAGCAGGTAATGTGATATTGCTGTTCTGAAAAAATAAATAAATAGCAGATTCTGAATATTATCTGAATAATTGTATGCATATAAACTTTGTTACATTAAAAACTATATAATGTAATATTTGATTGTTTTCTATTTTTTACAGTTTCCTCAATTCTTTTCTATGTTGCCTTGCATTTAATAGTACTATATGACAATGAGTAAACAAATTATTAAGAGGATAATTTAATATATAGTATGATTGTAAAATTATGAATTATCAATAATTCTAATATAATATAGGTGAAACGGTGGCACAGTAGGTAGAGTTGTCACCTCAAAGCAAGAAGGTCTCTGGTTTCAGTCCTGGCTAAATCAGTTGGTGTTTCTGTGTGGAGTTTGCATGCTCCCCCCTTGTTGGTGTGGATTTCCTCCTGGTGCTCTGGTTTCCCCCACAGTGCATAGACATGCGGTACAGGTGAATTGGGTAAGCTAAATTGACCGTTGTGAATGTGTGTAAATAAGTGTGTATGGATGTTTCCAAGTGATGGGTTGCAGCTGAAAGGGCATCCGCTGCGTAAAACATGTGCTGGATTAGTTGGCGGTTCATTCTGCTGTGGCGACCCAAGATTAATTAAGGGACTAAGCTGACAAAGAAAAGTAATGAATGAATGAATGATATAATAATGGGGGGAACTATTTGCATTTAGTGTATCTGAAATAAATAGTAATACTAAGTTTACTTTCTTTTACTCAAACTCACTAAATTGTTCCTATATCAAAACAGAAAAACAACAGATAAAATGGGGAACAGAACAGTATTAGAGATGCCTGAAGAATGTTTATAAAATGTTTGAATTAATAGAATGTCATAATTTCAATATACACACCTGTAAAGCTGCTATGAGAAAGTTGATATTATTCATTCATTCATTCATTTTCTTGTCGGCTTAGTCCCGTTATTAATCCAGAGTCGCCACAGCAGAATGAACCGCCAACTTATCCAGCACGTTTTTACGAAGCGGATGCCCTTCCAGCTGCAATCCATCACTGGGAAACATCCATACACTTATTTACACACATACACTATGGACAATTTAGCTTACAAAATTCACCTGTTCCACATGTCTTTGGACTGTGGGGGAAACCAGAGCACCTGGAGGAAACCCATGTGAACACAAGGAAGAACATGCAAACTCCACACAGAAATGCCAACTGAGCCGAGGTTCAAACCAGCGACCTTCTTGCTGTGAGCACTACCTACCACTACCACTGCATTACCCAAAGTTGATGTTATACTCTACACATTTTTTTTTACAGTAAAACAGAAAAAAAAAGATGTGTTTGAAATATGCTATACAAAATATGCTGTTCTCTCATTTGGTGTAAATGTAAATGTTACTATAAATTAAAATTTACATTAAAATTTGAATATAAAACAAACTATAAAACTATTTAAAAAAAAAAAAAAAGAATGTTTAATGAGTGAAAGCATTTTACATTTCAAATTTTCATGTTTCACAGTATTTATATCAGACTCATTGCTCTCTGAATTTTCCTGCAATATTAGTTTTTGTAAGTAAGAGCTATATATTTCTGCTGCAGAATGCCAAGTACATTCCAACCAGAAAACCTTTCCATATGACAGGATTGTGAAAAGGAGGATGTCCAAAGAAGTAAGACCACTTTTTTATGTTTGAATTTACTTAAGTAAAAAAATATATAATTTTATAAAAATAAAAAGATTTATCCCGTAGTTCTCTTTAATTTAAGCGGGATTTAGCTTATAATGTGTGGGTATTTATAGTGGTAGTTGAAATCATTAGAACACCAGGCATATCTGAAAATATTGATTTTTTGCCTCTAAAACATAATTTAATTTCATAATGAGCACAATCATTTTAATCTGATCACAACTAATATAACATGAATTTAGTCCTACTGGTTTGATCCACTGTTAACTGTAATATTTGGTATGTGCGTAACATGGTATGTCAGGCATTGTGTCAGCACGTTTCCAGACAACTTTAACATTGCTTTCAATGCCTTCTACAACCAAAGCCAATCTAGCTGTGTCACACTCAAATAAATGGTCAGATAGATCCAATGTGCGAGTGAACAAAAAGTATTTATTTGACACAGTCAAACTCAAAAACAGGTGCAACAAATGAGTGCGGTGCTAGGGCAAGGAGAACAGGGCAGGGATCAAGCAGGAAAACAGGCTCTAGAAGAAACTCCTCACGGTCCTGAGCACAGACAGAATAGCACACATAACGAACTGACAATGAACACATAACACGTAGCACTTATATAGGCACGATAATGTGAATCAGCTGGCGAACAATCAATCCAACGGAGTGCCGTCATGCCACGTGACCAAAACAATTACACGTGGGCCACAAAAACAAAACAAACCCACATGATCACACAGACATTCCGGAAGAGCGCACAAACCTGCAACCGTGACAAGCTGCTTCTTTGAAAGTACTTGATTGTGTGACATTGACATTAAAAATTTTTTTTGGACAATTATGCTGACTTTCTAGATATTTCATATAATAGATATTGTTGTGGCTAGGTCAAACAATTATGCTAAATGTTCAAATAATTCACAGTTAATGTTGCTCAATGCTCATGTTCTTAAAGGGTGTTGAAGAGGCCAGAGTCAGATGGAAAGCCGTGTTCTGGATGGTAAGCGTCACAAATACACAATATAATTCTGTCATACAGTGGTGGAAATATGTTGAACAAACTATGAAAGTTTTTTGATGTTAACAATTTTTCTTGTAGATAATAATGTAAAGTGAAGATAACCTTTTTTCAAAGCTTAAAATTGTAATAATCTTTAACTAATATATCTGTGTTTGCAGCAAATTACTTATAAAAATTGTTAATTTAAATACCACAGCCTATCCTGTAAAAATAATTATAATTAAATGTCTTTTACTGATTTACAGTGGGATGAAATGGAAAGACTCCTGGGAGCCATTAAATCACTTTTTGTAAAATACAGTGGGTTATAAAAAAGGAATGCTTTTAAAAAGAGAGTTGTCTACTGCTGTTGTTGCTATTTTCGGTGCATGTCTTGTTTTTGTTTGTTGTTTTAAATCTACTTTAACTCAGCACATGTTTAAACCCACATTTTGACATTGTATTTTGTTTTATTTTTATTTTTTGAATTGTATTATAATACATTTTTTCTGTTAACCTAGAGTAAAGACTTCCGCACAAAGATAACCACTTACAGTATTTTACGTCATATCTGCAGCCACTAAATCCCTCTGCAAAATTGTTTGAATGTTTGTATTTGAAAAAACTAATAAGAAATATATTAATGATTTAAATGTAATAAATGCATTTCTGGTTCTTCAGGAGTTTTATGGCTCACATCAGAGCCATTGAAGTGTGCATTTGCAGCATAGATACATACAAAATTGTTTTTTTTTTAAATGTTTGTACCACAGAACACAAACTAACACATTTATACATTTTCACTCTGCAATTTATAGTAAGCTATGTGTAGGCACAGTATAACACAAGGCAAAACTATTTATTTAAAAGACATTTGTGAGAAGTGTACTAATTTATGTAGAAATAAGTGCAGAACACACACACACACAGTGCTCAGCGGAAATTAATATACCCTCTCAGAGATTTTTTCTTTAAATTAATACCTTTTATGGAGTGCTATACAAAAAGGTATTTCTGTATATACATTAAAGTTACATATACATTACACCAAAGTAAAAACTGAAACAAATGTCACAAAAAGATTGATCCCTCTTTTTATTAAGTGCTTTAACTAATTTGTTTCAATATAGTTACTGTGTATATTGTGACACATGATACAATTTAGGGAATATTACTTTTTACACCCCCAAATCCACCCCTAAACCTATCCCCACCTTAGCTGTATTTCACCTTCAGAGTATCAGAATTGTTCTAAAAGACATTATGAACACAGTAAGTACAATGTATTTACTTTTTTGATATATAGATATCAAAACATTTTGATACATTAATACCAGTGTGTATGGGAGCGCTCTTTCTATCCTGCTACATGTGTCAACACCATACCGGAAACCATCCCATGTGTTTCTTAAGCTGCGCCGAATGAGTGAAACTCTAGGGTTGGGTATCGTTTGGTTTTTCGATACCGGTGCTAAATTGCTACTTTTAAAACGATACTGGTGCCAAAATGGTGCCTGAATCGACACTTTTTAGCCACAAAATGATGGTGGACGACTCTTCAAAAATATTTTATTTGACAAATGATTTTTAAAAAATTATTTTAATAGAACAACATAATTACAGTTTAAAGTAAACATCAATTAATATTGTATTACATTAATACATTTCCTTTGATCATTTGTTGGTAAGCATAAATTTAAAATTTGCATTATGAAATGACATTAGCTTACTATTAACATGTGGGGGGCGGGCAGGGGCCACATACTTTTAGGAGCACATTTTAACATATATATCACAAAATACTTAAAACATTATTGGAAGTCATTTATTTTCATGCATCACTCTGCAGTCTTCATAAACAAGATAATTAAATAACTTACTCAAAATAATCTTCCTTGTTCATTTATTTGACAAGCAACGTTGTACTGATGTAGGAGAACACATTTCTAACATTCAAGTACATCATGGCACATTGCTGCACCTGTAAACTTTAACATGCCTACAGTTGAAGTAATTTTATTTTGCCCTCCCATTCATTTAAAATATTCTTTTTGAAAACTTTTACAGTGTTTCCTAAAACATAATTATTCTGGAGTCAAAATAAGTCCTATTTCTTATTGTTTATTTCATGAATAAAAGCTGACTGTTTTTAAATTCAAGACTGCATTTCCTAATGTTAAACTATGTACACTAGATTTCTGATTAATAATGGTCTCTGCATAGCCGAGGACTTCCTATATTAAGAGTTAAAATCGCTATTGAAAACAGAAGTCTAATATCATCAACAGTGGACATTTTGATAGTGTTTCACAACATCAACATACCTGAAGTTTAATCTTTTTATTCCCTGTGTCAATTTGGGCATCAACTTCTGACGAGTGCGGGGAACTGATGCGCGCAGCTCCGTCACAGAGATAGCATAGTGCCAAGAAAACAGAGGGAGCGAGCATAAGCGAGTGCCGGAGGGACCTAAAGCACGCGAGAGAGGCTCTGCCTTTGAGCCCCCAAATGTGTCATTAAGTTTGAGATGTTTCCCCCTTACACACACTTTTGTAAAGACAGTTGCTGTGTAAGAATCCTTGCTTGTAAAATACGCTTTAGAATGCTTAGTTTAAGCAAATTGGATGAACGTGATCATGCATGTTGATCTGAAGAGTGTCGCTCTCGCTCACCGAAAACCACTGGTTCCAGGCTAAATGCTCTGTACTCTGCACGTTGCGTGCGTCTGTTCCATAGCGACAATAACAATCGCCTGATATCGCTGTCGGTATTCCTCAAAGTTGTTTAGAATTAAATGTTTAGTGATGCTGTGACGCAACGCCTATATGTGCCTTTTTTCATGCACCCCTCACGTCCATCCCGCAGCACCGAAATTCATACACTGATTTAATACCGGTACATACCAGTTACCAAGGTACCGGTGCTATAATGGCACCGGGTTTCGGTACCCAACCCTAGTACACACTGATCATGTCTACAGTTTATCTCCAGTGTGAATCCTCTGATGTTTTTTCAGGGTTCCTGAGTGAGTAAACCTCTTACTGCAGTGTGAACACTTGTACGGTTTTTCTCCAGTGTGAATCCTCTGGTGCCGTTTCAATTCTGCAGCTGTAATAAAAGTCTTCTCACACTCCAAGCACACATACTCTTTTACACTAGTGTGAATCTTCATGTGGTTTTTAAGGTATGATGATTGGCTAAAACTCTTCCCACATTGAGTGCATGTGAATGGTTTCTTTCCAGTGTGGATCATGATGTGTTGATTAAGGTTTGATGATAGGCTGAAACTCTTCCCACACTGAGGGCATGTGAATGGTTTCTCTCCAGTGTGGATCCTCATGTGTAGATTAAGGGATGATGATTTGCTGAAACTCTTCCCACACTGAGTGCAAGTGAATGGTTTCTCTCCAGTGTGGATCCTCATGTGTTGATTAAGGGATGTTGATAGGCTGAAACTCTTCCCACACTGAGTGCAAGTGAATGGTTTCTCTCCAGTGTGGATCCTCATTTGTTGATTAAGGGATGTTGATAGGCTGAAACTCCTCCCACACTGAGTGCAAGTGAATGGTTTTTCTCCGGTATGGATCCTCATGTGTTTATTAAGGGATGATGAGCAGTTAAAACTCTTCCCACACTGAGTGCATGTGAAAGGTTTTTCTCCGGTGTGGATCTTCATGTGTCTATAAAGCGACGATGATTTGCTAAAACTCTTCCCACACTGAGGGCATGTTAATGGTTTCTCTCCAGTGTGGATCCTCATGTGTAGATTAAGGAATGATGAGTGGTTGAAACTCTTCCCACAATGAGTGCAAGTGAATGGTTTTTCTCCGGTGTGGATCTTCATGTGTCTATAAAGCGATGATGATTTGCTAAAACTCTTCCCACACTGAGTGCATGTGAATGGTTTCTCTCCAGTGTGGATCCTCATGTGAGTCTTTAATTTGCTTTTGCTTGCCAAACTCTTGTCACACTGAGTGCAGGTGAAACAACTCTTGTCTCTCACTTTTAACACACAATCAGTCTCTAAATGAGTTTTGTCCTCAATTTTGACATGATGTTCCTCCTCTTTACTCTCCTCGTAGTCTTTAATTAGGTCTGAAATAAAAATAAGTTTACTTTTTAGTAAATCATAAAACTCAGTGAAAAGGAAGTGAAAACATTGGCTACACAAATCTTAATTTTGATGCACATTAAATGTAAAGACAAAGCAGATCATATTTAGATTGATCTTGTCATATTTACCTCCTGGAGTCCATTACACAGATACACATTTAAGCAGATTCTCATATGATTAATCCCAGATCATTTTGGTCATATTGATGAGACATAAATTTGAAAGCTGTAAATGGCCAGTTTCTATTTGTATATATTCGTAATCACAACAAAACAGTTTGTTTTTGTAAAACTTGTAAAGCAGATGGGGAATGCTTTTTCATTCTGTGCCTGACTGGTAAACCTGTTAGAAAAACAGCTGAATCTCTGCTAATATTTGCATCATAGACATATATGACACATGTATAATATCTGCATAAAGCTTTAAATCTGCACCTTTAAATGACAAATGTTCTAGAGGTATGTAATCTGTAACAAATGCAAAGCAGAAATCTAACACTTAACTGTTTCAGATCATCAAACAAATGTAAATATTAGTCAAAGATAACACAATTAAACACATTGTGCAGTTTTTAAATCAAGGTTTTTATTCTTAAATTGAAGACAAAATACTGAACTACACAGACTTGTGTGAAAAAAGAAATTCCCATTAGAACAATTTTAATTTATCACACCTGCTTCAAGTTCTCTAGCCACACCCAGACCTGATTACTACCACACACGTTCGCAATCAAGAAAACACCTAAATAGGACCTTTCTGACAAAGTGAAGTAGACCAAAAAAAGCCTCAAAGCTAGACATCATGCCAAAATCTAAAGACCTTTAAACACAAATGAGAAAGAAAATACGTGTGTCACGAGTTAAAAAAAAAAGAGTGAGCTCAAATGCAAGTCTTTATTGAGAAGCGAGTCTTGGAAAAACCAAAAGTCAAAGTAAACACCAGGTCGGGTGAGCGCTGAGGAAGTGCCGTAGGAAAAAACAACCAGACACTCACTCACTGGTGGTCTTGGAAACATACAGGGTGAGTAACAAAATAATATGCACACAAATGATCGATAACATACTGACAAACATGAAGGGGAATGATGTGGTATAAACAGGAAAAAAAGGGAAACGAGAGCTCCTGTGACTGCATATAAAAGCAGATGACAAGAGATAATCTGTAATACAGATCAAAGCCCCTTTCACACAGTTATACCGGTAAATATGCAGAAAATTTCCGGAACGACTTTACCGGTATATTCAAAAAAGCGCTGTTCACACAGGCGAGGACGTTACGGAAATTTTCCAGAAAAGACCTTTCACAAATCCATTCCAAAATACCGGTAAATTCTGACATCATTTACCACAAATGAGCCTTAAACGGCTGCGCTTGTATTTGTAAACATTTTACTACATTACAAACTCTGTGGATGATCAAAATTGTGAACAATACAGTATTGTGAACAGTTCTTCGAACAACTTCGAAGAAAACATATGGAGGATCACTTTGGCATGTCGAGATGTTCATAATATGTGCGTGTGCTGGCGCTCACAGGCTGTTTCACAGGCACACGCTAAGCTAAATGCGTCTGACTGTTCTGATTGGCTAAAGCAGGTGTCTCACGTCAGCACGTTCTAGACGTGCACGCGTTCTTTCCGGCAATCTTCCTTCTGCATTCACACAGCGCAGCATTCCGGCAAATTACCGGGAATGTTACAACTTCTCTTTCTGGAAAATAGCCAGAACGAATTTACCGGTATTTTCAAAAAGGACCTGTTCACACATACAACCTTTCCGGAAAATTGCCGGTAATTTTCCGGAAAGGTCTGCATGTGTGAAAGGGGCTCAAGAGAAGAGAGCCAAAGAGTAAGGTATCAAAGGAGGATGTCACATCAAAGATTCAAGTGTTACCACTCAGTGGGTTATGTCACAAGACTCGCGTCACTTTATTGTGGCTTTGAGGCTCAATGGGATTCTAATTACTGGCCAAAGTTATATAAAATTACACTTTATTACAATATATATGTTAAATATAAATAATTATAATATGCATTATATAATATTAAATTAAATTACATGGGGGCCATGGGGGGTGGTTCGTTCGAACAACCCGATACCCCCTGGCTACGGGCATGGCACAGTGATCTGTGTCATTACAAGGGCTTTTCCCACAGCTGGTGGAGAACACGAGAGTTCGGTTTGAGTTCAGTGTAGTGCATACATTTTCATTGTTTTCACTGTAAAATCCTCACCGCATGCGCAGATTAAAGAGACATTTATGCAGAATACATCTTTGCACCTAAAAACGTCAAACGCAGCACTCAGGAACAGATTAAAACAGTTGTTATGTGAACTTGAAGTAAAAAAGTCTGCAATGCTAGCCCCACCTTTGTGCTCTACTTATTGGCTAACTGCACTACAACTGAATGTAAATGATTGGTTAATATCAGCTGTCAATCACTCAGTCAATGCCTTCTGCCTTCAGATGATAGGAGCTACAACTGCGAAAATGTGAAGCGCTGAAGATGAAAGAATGAAAATAACAGACATTTACCTAAAGTTATTAATAACGGCGCATCTGTTTAGTGATCATGTGCTGAATGTTAATCCACCATTTACACTTTTCCAAGAGTGGATAAAAGACTTCTCGTGGCTTCAAGTCCGCCGGTAACAGTGTTTGGCGCTGAATCTACACATTTAAGCGCGAGAGGTATTGTATAATCCTTTATTTAATCCTCACGATGCTGTCAGCCGTGCAAGCAGCAGCTATATGTAACATTTAACACAGCTCACAAAAAGACTGTTATTGCTATTACGATGACATGCAAATAATAAGTTATATATCAATATAAATGTGGGGCGGGGCGATGGATCCTGATGCCGGCTAAGCATCGTGAAGTTTGTCGGCCATCAGCGATGGACAATGTCATGTAAAAAAATAATACAATTAATCAGCTACAATCAACATCATCTTCCGAAGAGCTTCATAAGAAAATACTTATTCTGCAAGCGGAATGACTCCTTGAGGATCTCCACATAAGATCACGCCAGATTCATTATGAACATGGTGAATGAGCTGGCAGGTTATTGTGTTACTAACTGAAAAAATCCTCAGCAGCTGGTGTTATAGCAGCAGTTAGTAAGGATGATGGCAGTATTATTACTGAACAACAGGGTATTAGTGATCAATTTAAAAAACTTCTATAAAACTCTTTACAACTCTGAGGTAAACTAAATTGAATGTATTGAGAGCTTTTTTAATTATTAAGAATTACCATACCTCTGTGATTCAGATCAGTTGACAAAAGAAGGAATTTTAACGTTTGTCCTTTTCTTTCTGAATGTGTCACAGAATGTGTCCCGCGTTTGTCAGCTTCTCACAGGACCGGGTTTCCAAAGCTTGTCAATAATCAATCGCATGTTATTATTATCAGCTCAAGAAGTTTGTTATTTCAAATAGAGACGCGTGGCGAGCGTAAGGAAGAAAGCGAAACCACTCGGGCTTCAGACCGGCTCGTAAAAAACTACGCTGCACAGGGTAAATCTGCTCTTCTCCATGGCTTTGTGGCTGTTTATCAAGTCGACGACAGGGTTTGTTTGAGCCCGGATCGACCATGGCTGCATATGTATATAATTCCGCTGTAATCTCTCGCTGTGTATTTCAAACATGGCGGGTCCTTTGTTAAGATTCTGGCTTGTGTCTACGAATGATGTATCTCTGTAAACCAATAGCGTTCAGCTGCACGTCTAGCTCTGCCATTTAGGGCCTACTCACACTATGCCATCCGTACCATGCCCAGGCCCGTTTCCCGGATCGTTTGAGAAGTGTGAGTGCGGTGAATCGGGCTCAAGCACGGTTCACTTGGCCGGCCCTGGCCCGGTTGGAAGAGGTGTGCCCTAGCGCGGTTCACTTGGGCTTTGGCACGGTACGCTTGTGTGTGAGTGCAAAACGCGCCAAAGCCCGAAACTGAAAGGGAGACGTGACTTTTAAGGGGCTGTTACATATGGATTTATTAATCATTCTTACTGTTCAGTGAACGCAAACTGCCGTAGTTTATTACAGACGAGAACTTCTCGAAGCACGACAGCTGCGTGGCTTCAGCAGACCTCCTCATTCCTGCAGCACGAGAGCTTTATGATTGTTTATGAGCGCCAAAAGTGGCGGATCTGTTTGGCAAAATATCTGACTGCGTGTCACAGCATCCCTAAGGACTGTTTGGCGAAATATTCGACTGCATGTCACTGCATAACTAACGACTGAAACGATATAACTAGAGAAATCTCCACTGTGCTGCTGAGAGAGCGCTTCTCACTGAACAGCGCAGCAGCGATGACGTAAGTGTGCCGAGGCCTGTTTGTGGTGTGAGTGCGGGCCGTCGGGGGAGACGGGAGGGGGACAAGCGCTTTGGCCCGGTTCGAGGCAGCTGTATCTAGTGTGAGTACGGCCTTAGTGTTTGGGACCTTTTCGAAAGGGTGCCAAAAAAGTGGTATGGTACGGTTTGGTTCGGTATGCCTTTTGACAGTGGAAATGGCCATAAAAGCGTACCAAACCGAACCACTCAGTGGAAACGGGCCATAAAAGCTTGATTAGCTAGTCCAGGTGTGTCTGATTGGGGTTGAAACTAAACTTTGCAGAACACCGGCCCTCCAGGACCAAGTTTGCACATGCCTGCTCTAGAGGAACGAGACAGGGCTGCCCTCTGTCCCCTCTGCTCTTTGACATTGTCATCAAACCTCCTGCAACCATATTAAGGAACTCAGATGGATTGCAAGGAATTTTCAGAGAGGGACAAGAACATAAGTTTCTGCTATATGCGGATGATCTACTTTTTTCTGTCAATTACAGATACATG